GGGGGGGGGGGGGGGGGGGGGGGGCAGCAGGGCGAGGCAGGAGGCCTGGCTCTAGTCCAGATGTGACCTGCTGGGTGACCTTAGACACATCACTTGCCCTATCTGGGCCTTGGTTTGTACACACTATTTTACATAGTTGTTTTTTTTTTTTTTTTTTGCATGAACCAGATTCATGCAAAAAAAAAAAAAGTGAAATTTTCCACTTTGCATATAAAACCTTATATACACGTGTGTATATATAAAGTCAGAATGTGACCAGTGTTTTGGTGGGATTGGAAGAGGTCAAGAAGGTGCTTTCTGAGCAGGTGACGTTTGAACTGAGATCAACAGTGGAGAAAAGAGTGTTCCAGGCAGAGAACAGTAGGTGCAAAGGCCCTGAGGTAGGAACCAGTTCAGCCTGTGTGGCTGGAATGGTGGGGCTAGAGAGAGGGACAGGGGTCAGATGGCACAGCACCCTGAAGCTGCAGGAAGGAGACTTTATTCTGGGTGTAATGACCTGCGTCTGGGTGGATCCATCTGTGTTTCTTGCTCGTTTGATCCCCATCCACCCTGGGAACTGGCTTTTCTTGTGGACCTCTGAGTGTGTGCTTCCTTGCTCTGTCTAGGCCACTTCTCGGAGATATCGTCATACACTTGCGCTGTCCACGGTGGCCCTTTGGCTATCACCAGCCACTGGCTACCCCAGTGCCCTGCTTCTTTTAAATAAAATAAGCTGTTTGTGTACCAGGCTATTTCATTGTTCAGTGTCTAGTCCCCACGAGGCCCTGAGCTCTGCAGGGGCAGGGACGCCGTGCGCATGGGACCCGGGACATGGTAGGCCTTCAACAAACATTTGCCGCTAAGTGAGTGCTGCGGATGAAGAGGGGCAGTAAGGGCTGTGAGCAGTGACGTCTCCGGCGAGGGGCTTCTGTGCGGGGTTCTGAGGGTGACTTAGGAGTCCCCAGGTGAGCCCAGGGCACGGGCGACTTGTGTGGGCCCAGGACAGCACTTTGCCACTGGGCCTTAGTTTCTTCCTGTGAAACATAGAGCGGTGAAGGCCCTTCCGCCCCCACCCCTCGAGCACTCACTGCGGGGTCCTGGGGGGCCACGCGGACTTCCTTGCTCGCGTAGAGGCAGGACAGGATGTCGTTGTAGAGCTCCATCTGAAAGACCAGGTCCGCCATGCTGCCTGGGGCTAATGGTGGGAGGGGTCGCGGGGCCAGGTGGTCAGGCCTTGGAGTCCTCTGGCCCGGGCCACAGGGGGTCACAAGCTTCAGAGAGAAGAAGGAAGGGGACATTGAGCGGAGCAGCTCCCGGCCGCAGCTGGCTGCCAATGACCTGCCGGGCTCGCCCGGTGCTGGGCTCTGATCCCGGGGCCTGGCCCCTCACGTCCCCCTGGTTTGATCCCACCCTTTTCTCTGTGCCTTTGTCAGAAGGGCCCCGTGGGACCCAGGCAGATTCCGCATCCTGCCACCTCCTGTGTCCCAAGGAGCAGGGGACAGAAGTGGGGCAGACACCGCGGTTCCCCAGGTGGGGGGACCTCCCGGGTGGGAGTGTTGGGACAGAGCTGAGCCCCCCTCGCTGGCCAGGCAGCCCTGGGTGAGCTCCGGGGCCATGGGCCTCCTCCCCCTTCCTCCTTCTCCTTCCTTCCTCCTCCTCCTCCTCCCTTCCTTCTCCTCCTCCCTTCCTTCTCCTCCTCCCTTCCTCCTCCTCCTCCTCCCTTCCTCCTCCTCCTCCTCCTTCCTCCTCCTCCTCCTCCCTTCCTCCTCCTTCCTCCCTCCTCCTCCTCTGCCTCCCATCTCCTTGACCCCCTCGTCCATCTTCCCTGGACCACTGGTCCCCAGAGGGTCTGCTGGCCAAGGGCCGCTCACCTGGACTCTCATCAGGATGGCCTCCTCCCTGAACTCCGTGGTGGTGACATAGTATTGGACGTCCTCTGGGCCCGAGATGGCCGGGGCTAGGTGGACACAGAACCAGGGCTCAGCCCACGGCAGGGGAGGGGTGGGGGCAGGAGGAAGGTCCCCCGACCCCCAGCCTTGAGATGGCTGCGCTTGTGCATCTTAGAACAAAGTGAGCGGCAGCTTCGTGCAGGATTGTGGGTCACCCAGCGGCCCTGCTCTGTGGGCCCCTTGAATCAGACAGGGAAACAGGGGCTCAGAGGGTCAAGGACTGTCAAGGTCACCAGTGACATGGCCCCTTCCCCCCACTAGAAAGCAGGGTCCCTGCGGGAGGTCTGCCTTGTCCCAGTCGCATTCCCAGAGCCTAGAACAGTGCCTGGCGCCGGGCGGGGGAGTGGACGCCTCTGCCCTGAGCAGCAGTGACCTACGGAGGACGATGGTCAGTAGGTCTTCCAGCAGGGAGCTGAGCAGGGCCGTGGCCGGGGGACATACCTGGGGGACGACACGGGTCCTCCTGAGCATGGGGTCACGGTCGGCGTGCTCCCTTGGTGCGGGCAGGAGGCAGGGCAGAGGGCCACTCACCATCTTCTGCAGCAGGAAGGGCAGGGAGTGGTCCAGGACGCCGGCCACCAACTCCAGAGGTTTGTCCACCAGGAGGGCGTCTGTCCTAGGGGAAGGGGACAGCTGTGGGACCCGACACACCGTGCAAGGGCAGGCGTGGGTCAGAGAGGGGAGGCCGGGCTGGGCTGAGGGGCCCCTGCTGGCCTGGGTGGCTTGGCCTCTCCCTTCCCGGGTGCCGCCCTCCTGTCCTCTCTCCCCGCTTTGCGGTCTGCTCGTCCCCCCTCTTTCTCCTGCCGACTCTACTTTCTCCTGATTCTCTTCCCTTCTTCTCTCTTTGGTAGGGTCCATGGCACAGAGATCTAGCTGGCCGCAGAGGCCACGGAAGGCGTCCCGGAGGACGTTCTGCACGGGGTGCGTCCCCATGAGATCGACAGGCAGCGTCACCTCCTGCGGCAGCTCCTGCGCTGGGTGGGCCTTGGCTGACCCCTCCCCATGCCGCCCTGCTGGCGGGTGGCGGGGGCACCTCATTTTCTGGTGGGGAACCCGAGGCCAGGAGCGGGGCAGCCTGGGCAGGTCCTCCCTGTAGGAAGGGACCAGGCGGAGGGCTGAGCCTGCCCGAGGTGGCGGCTCTCAGCCATGACATCCAGTGTGGAGGCAGGAGATGGGGACAGGTGGCCTGTCAGCCTGCGGCCTTGGAGATGACCCTGTCGCCCATGCCCTGGGCACTCTAGACCCTAGGGAGAGGCAGCAGTCCCAGCCCTGGGTCTCCGAGGTCGGTCAGCTCAGGAGTAGTGGGCCCGGGCTTTGCCACTCACTGCCCCAGGATCTCCACGCTCAGGCTCCCAGGAGGGGTGTGGCACTCCTCCAAGGCCACCGTGGTCCTGTTCCCCATCTGCTCCAGCCGCACCCCCATGCGAATGTTCTTGATGACTTTGAGCCGCAGGATCCTGGAGGGACGGTGTGTGGGACAGGCTCTAACCGGGCCCGAGGTCGAGGCAGGACGTCACAGCCAGCCCCACGGTTGCCCCGAGGACTCAGATTGAAAATCAGGAGAGCTCCTTAAAACAGGGACAACCGGGGGACCTGACGGCACCCTCACGGGGGACCCACACTTGGAGCTGAGGGTGGCCTTGGGGTGGGCCTCAGGCTCCCCTGCTTGCTACAGCCCCCACCAGGACGATGGTCACTCAGCACGTTGACAGCGCCACCCGACAAGGGGAAGGAAGATATTTTACAAGGAAAAGGGGGGGTGGACGTGTAGCTGAAGGGCATCCATGAGTTTTCCCACTTCCTGGGCAAACAGTGGTCCACGGGCTGCTCTGTGGCATTTCTGAGTTTTGCAGATGAATACTCAGTACCGCTTAGTGCAGGGGGCCCCGTGCCCATTTCACAGATGAGGAAACCGAGGCCAGGGAGCAGACCTGCCTGGTCAGTTGCCTAGCCCAGGAGTGCCAGCCTCCAGGTGAGTGCGTATCAGACCCTCCTCAGGCCACGCTATTAGTGCCCCGAGCTTCCCAGGTGCCCAGAGGGGGTGTGTGTCCCCCAGCATGGAGTCAGAAGGCTGGATGACTCGCTGTGTGATCCAGGCAAGTCCCTTTCCCACTCTGTGCTTCATTTTTCCCACCAGCAAAATGGCTTTCAAACGTGCACGGATAGAAAGGACTATCAGGGTCCTTGTGGTGACACGTGGCCTGTGGCTTTGGCTGGCGTCCTGGCAGTGCAGGTCTGGGTGGTGAGGAAGCCCACGTGTACTTACTCCTGGAGCGAGAGGTACAGTTTGCAGCGCAGCGTGACCTGCAGCAGGCTGTCGCTTAGGATTTGCAGGGTGACCTCGGGTCCTTTGGCATCTTCTATGACCAACCTGGAGAGGCATGGGGTGCTGTGTGGCTTGTGGGGGTGTGTATCTGAATGGGTGGGAAAAGGGGCAGACCCCAGGAGAAGCTGGGGTGACCGTTGGGACAAACCCTCCCGGTGACCCCAGCCTGGCTGTGGAACACCGGGCTCTAATCGCAGTCTCCAAGCCCTGAAGACGGGACAAGCCCCTTCCCTTGTCTGGGCCTCAGTGTCCACCTCTGTGAAATGGGGAGGAGACGGTGGAGGAGCCGTCTTGTCATGCTTCACCTGTCTGAACTCAAATACGGGCCTCTGGGCCGGGGACAAGGCTTGGGGTAGAGCATTTGCCTGGCATATGCAAGGCCCTGGGTTCGGTCCCCAGCCTCGATAAAACAAAACAAACAAACAGCCACACAAAATCAGAAAACAAGAACACGAAGGCAGGCTCTGACAAAGAAGAGCAAAGAGAGTCCGGCAGCAGCAAGTTCAAACGGGAGGAAACCCTGGCCTCCAGCAGGGAACTTTCTGGAAGGTTCCAGAATGCCTTGGAACCCCTGTAGCTTTCCTGCGCTCTCCCAAGCCATGCCCTGGCGGGGCGGGCAGGAGAGGTACTGGGAATGCACAGGCCAGGGTGACCGCAGCCGACCCGGGCCTTGGCCAGGCTGGGCCCCCGTGGGCCGCACCTCCTCCCATCAGCAGTGCCCTGGCCTTTCACCCCACCCCACCCCCCCGAAAACGTCCTCTGAGTCGTCTGCTGTCTTAGGGTTTGGCCTGCTGTCCCGAGGCGCTCATGCTGGGGACGGATGTGGCGGGAGCCCCACTGGGGGAGCCCTGCCCTGTGCGCTGGCACTTGTCTCACGGGTCCCCATGTCCGTCCTTAATTCTCTGCCTCATTTGTTTTCAGAGCCAAGCAAGGGACATAGTGAGTGGTGGGGCAGCTGGGGACGGACTCAGGGCCATGACCTTACACCCGTGGTCATCCTGGAGGGACCAACCAGGTGGCCCAGAGTTCTGCTTTAAGGAGAATCAGTGTCATGGGCTGAATTATGTCCCTGGCTCCCAAATTCGTATGTTGAAGTCCTAATCCCTAGAGCCTCAGAATGTGACCTTATTGGGAAACAAGGTCATTGCAGACGTGATCCGTCATCCCAGGCTGTCCTGGAGTCGTATAGGCCCCTAATCCACATGACGGTGTCCTGGGGTAGGGGGATTCTGGACACGCAGAGCAGGGAGGGGTGGAGTTCCTACACCCAGCACCAGAGGGCGCCCTAGGTGACAGCAGCCGAGGAGCCAGCCCACAGGGGGCGGCGACCCCACACTGTACCTGGGCCTGATTTCTAGGCAGACAGTGAGACAGTTTAGGTGACTCAGCTTGGGGCACTTTGACAAACAGACATAATTGGACAAGTCAGATTTTTAGAAAAATCCTCTATTTTTTCCCCTTTGCTCTTGGCGGGGTGGGTCTGAGCCAGGGCCTGGTGCGGGCCCCATGCGGGCCCTGAGCCACACTCCTGGCCCAGAGAGTCTCGACTGCTACATGGAGTCAATTTATTTAAAATATCTTTCAAGACATGACACAGGTTTGTATAGAAAGGGGATAGGGCGGCCGCGCTGCGGGGCTCCGAGCCTGGCTCAGACCCCACTCCTGCCTTCCCAGGGGGTTTCAGCGGCTTGGAGGGACAGAAGGACACCCTTGCTTTGTGCTCGAGGCTGCAGAGGCCACAGAGACACCCGGCTGCCCCCCTTGTCTCCGCTGGATAGGCGAGAACGTGGTCTGGGGTTGGGGACGCAGGCCCTGTCTCCGGGGCAGGAAAGGCCACAGCAGCCTCAGGCCACTCACCCTGCGGCCTGGAACAGGTCCGACAGCAGAGGGAGGCTCTTCCCCGAGAGCAGGTCCCCGACCAGCGACAGGTCCAGCCCGCTGCTCTTCTTGGACAGGCTTTTGCTGACAAAGGGCAGGTGGTCCAGGACAGTCGCGCCTTCCCTCGGGGTCCCTGTCACAGGCACCCTGACTACGCGGCTCAGGACCTGGTGCTCTGCAAACAGGTCTGAAATGTCTGTAGACACGGCCTCCTCAGCCTGGGCCTTCCCCCTCACTCGTTCACCAGCCCCCCACCCCACCCCCCCGTCACCCAGGCTGCACCTGAAAGCCTGGGCCCCAGCCATCCTCCTGCCTCTGCCTCCTGAGGAGCGGGACTCCAGGTGTGTCCCCACTGCCCGTGGCTGACAGGCCCTTATGAAGCACTTCTCAGCAGGGCTCTGGGGACAGCAGCACCCTGGTTCTGACCCCACGGAGTTTACACTCTAGTCAGGGAGACGACAACAACCCAGCGCTCAGAGCAGTGAGCAAAGAAATTTTTAGCATCAATTAAGTGCTACAGACTAAAAGGGAGCAGGTGAAGCCTGACAGACTGAGGGCCTGTTTGGGACAGAGGGATTAGAAAGGGCCTCGCTGAGGAGGTGACCTTTGAACTGAGGCCTGAAGGAAGTGAGGAGCCCACTGTTGACCATCTGGGGAAGAATGACATAGGCAACGGTGTGTGCAAAGGCCCTGAGGTGGTTATGAGCCTGGTGGGTTTGTGAAACAGAAAGATGGGCGGGTGGCAGGGGTGGGATGGGGGGGGGCACAAGTGGCTCACAGCCAACGGGGAGGGAGCCACACAGAGGGACCGGGCGACAGGTGCAATGTTATACTTGGATGGGGCCATAGAAGAGGCTCCACCAAAGGACTGGGGAGCCCAAAGGAGGGAGAGTCCTGCTGGGAGGATCAGGAGGGATTTCCAGAGGAGGCGCAGGAAGAGCTTTGCCTTCTCAGAGGGTCCGAGGTCTCCGTGAGGAGCGGGCAGCCGTTTTGGCAGAAGGGTCGCGTAAGAAAGGAAGGAGACGGAGGTCATGGAGAGGAGGGGAGAGCTGGGAGTTGCGGGACTTTGACTGCGAGGACCAGGAGCTTAGAAATGCTTTCGAAAAGCCAGGCGCCGGGTGCACACCTGTAATCCCAACGGCTCGGGAGGCTGAGGCCAGAGGATCACCAGTTCAAAGCCAGCCTCAGCAACAGCAAGGCACTAAGCCACTCAGTGAGACCCTGTCTCTAAAGAAAATACAAACTAGGGCTGGGGATGGGGCTCAGGGGTCGAGGGCCCCTGGGTTCAATCCCTGGTACCAAAAACAAACAAAAAGTGCTCTTTAGGGCATTGGGGAGCCACACCAAGTGACAGAGCAGGAGAGAGACAGGTCAGTCCCCGGGACCGGCAGGTGAGTCCCATGGCTGGTGGGGAGAAGCTGGGGGGGGTGCGGCCCCCTCTCCTGACCCCCACCTCCCGCCACGCACCCCCCACATTCACCTGTCTGCAGCTGACCCTTGCTGACCCGCAGGTAGAGCGGGCTGTGGGCCTTGCCCTGGGTGGGGGGCGGCAGTGCCCAGCACAGCAGGGACGCCCAGAGCAGCCGCATCCTCCTGTCCAGATCTGTGGACGCAGAGCGTGAGAACGTCCAGGTCCCAGCCGGGGACTGGCTGCCCTTTTCCCGGCTCTGCCTCCCCCACCCCGTCTTCCCAGCCCCCTGCCTGCCCAGCTCCCATCCGCGGGTCCTGGAACACAGCCACCACAGCTCTGGCCCGGGCCCTTCCCCTCCTGCAGGCCGGCTTCAAAGTCCGGCTCTGACATTCCCGTCTGTCTGGCCTGCCCAGGTCCCTTGACTCCTCTCTGCCTCAGTTTTCTCATATGAAAAATGGGGACGATCACGGGTTGTTGACAATGTGCAGCAAGCACACAGCGGGCGCCCACAGCTGCCAGCGTGGCGGCCCGTGGTGAGGGGTCCACGGGCCCAGGGCTCCCTTCACAGCTGGATGCTTCTGGATTGTGAGGAAACCAGGGGTGGGGTCCTGATGGAGGTGACCGTGGCTGATGGGGCAGGAGCCAAGTAGCAGGGAAATCATTCAGGTTTGTGAATCAGCATTTGTACCAGTGCCAACCAGCAGGCCCTCAGCCCTCCCCAGTTGGCCAAAAGGAGCAGCCGGGCCCCCGGAGGCCGCAGGCAGGAGGACACCACCAGGAAGCCAAGCTCTGGAGCGACATGCAGCCCAGTGAATGCGGCATCTCCAGGCAGACGTCACGGTGAGCAGGGACCTCCGAGGAGGCGCACGGAGGGCCCCAGATGGCTGAGCCACTCGCGAGTGCCTGGGACAGCTCTAGGACCCAGCCGGCTGCTCCTTGGGGGACCTCGCTCAGCGTGTGCGTGGCCCCGGGTTCAGTCTCCAGGACCCCAACAAACACAAGCAAACCCACAACTCGGTGATGAAATTGGGTAGTAGAAATTAATATGCAAATCTTGGTCTGTGAAGTTTGTGGCTGTGGCATTGACTCTCCTATTTGGTTTCCAGGATGATTGTTTTTTTTTTTTTTTTTTTTTTTTGTGGTGCTGGGGATCGAACCCAGCGGCTCTCACATGCTGGATGCTGGGCAAGTGCTCTACCACTGAGCCACACCGTGACACCTGCAGCCCTTTTAAAAATTTTTATTTTGAGGCAGGCCCTTGCTAAGTTGCCGAGGCTGGCCTCGAACTTGCAATCCTCCTGCCTCAGCCTCCCGAGATGCTGCACAGGCTTCCGGACTGATCTTAAACTCAGCCACTGTTCATTCTGCCAGCCAGCGTTGAGTTGGTCTCCGTCAGGCCCTTTTCTCTGTCAGTTCACCACTCCCTGGCCTTGGCCCTGTGCACCCCACGCCCAGCCCGCCCCAGCTCTCCTCCTGAGGCATCCACACCTGTCCTGGCCTCTTGAGTCCTCACTGGGTGCCAAGAACTCTATAGGCTTCATCAAATCATTATGTCCTCATCAAGATGGGATCACTGACGTCCAGACCTATTTTACAGATGAGGAAACTGAGGCTGAGAAAGGAGAAATGGCTTGCTCCTGGGGACAGAGTAAGAGGCAGAGCTGGGACTGAACCTGGCTCTCCTGGCACTAAGAAGCCATGCACCATTTCACCAGGTCTCAGCCTTGTTGGGGAGACACCCGCGTTGGCCTCCTCCTCCTTACCTCTCCCCGAGTGCAGCCTCCCAGGATCCAGGTCTCGGCCTCTGCCTCCAGCTTCCCGACAACTTTTATAACTGAGCTCTGAAGTGGGGGGTGGGCATGTGGACAGGAAGTCCAGCCCCTGGCCAGGCCCTGCCCTTCAGAGGAGCTGTTGAGGGGAGGGAGGGTCCTCCTGGCACTGGGTGACAAGGGGCTTCTTGCCAAAACTGATAGGACCCGGCATGGAGGACAGGGGCAGGCTCTGGGCCCTGGGGCCAGCAGCCCCCAGGAGGAAGTGGGCGGGCCGTGCGGTTTGGGACGTGGGCCACTTCCCTTTGGATCAACATCAGAGAAACAGGGCCAGGGCTGCAGCCCTCCCAGGACAGAGTCATGGAACCCAAGGAGTGAGGAAGCGGGGTGCAGCAGGGACAGGAGAGCAGGTGGGGCGCAGAGGTGGGGCTGAGGGGCGTCGGTGACCAGCAGCGGGCCTCCCCAAGCCTTTTCCGCGTCTGTTGTTCAAGCTACAATTTTCACTCTGATTCCCAAGGACATGTCTCTGGGTTCAGTCTGCCTCTGATGTCCAGGGGCTGTGTGACTGTGGGCAGGCGACCTTCCTTCCGAGACCCCCTTCTCCTCGCCGGGTAATGCACATAGTGAATCTACCTGTGTCCCCTGGAGGGAGGTCACGAGGCTATCACTACGGGGCCTGGCACATGGGAATGGTTAAAAAATGGCTTCACTCCCACTTTACAGATGAGGAAACTGAGACATGTTCCAGGTCGTGCAGCATGTCTGAGGTCAAGCTGGGGTTTGTGACCCGGGATTTGGTGTTCCTGCGCCTGACAGCCCCAGGACTCTGCCAGAGCCTCTGATGTGGGGACACTGGCGCCCCCTGCTGACCATCACGGCTGGTGGTGCAGTCCCCAACGGCAGAGGTGTGTAGGCGGCTGGTAGGTGTCCCCTGGGATCAATTCCTTGTTCTTTCTCAACCCAGGGATGTAGCCAGGGCAGGCGGTGGACTCCTGGAGGCACCGAGGACAGAGGGGCTGAGGTGGAAGGCCGGGTCCTGGAGGACAGCGACGGCCACACGAGGTCCACGTTAGCTGGTTCTTTGGCTAATAGCAAAGGCAATGGCTAAGCTTAGTGTGACTCAGCGCGTCTGCTGGATGGAATCTTGTTCTAGAATCTCAGAGGCCTAAAGTCACGGGCTTTTGGGTTGGAGGATGCTCTAAGAGTTGATGAGTCCCCTGATTTCTGTCGACTGGGTCTCAACATCACCGTCAGGAGGTGTCTTGCCGCCTGAGAAGGGCCCCCAGGGGACCTGCCTCCTCTGAGTCCCTGGGGAGCGTTCCCAGGATGCTCAGGGAAGTGCCTCTTTCAAATCTCACCTCTAAAGAAAAGAGGAGGGAAGGATTCCTTAGAGCCCCAAAGGGCTTTCTGCTTCCCCAATGTCTTCAGAGAGAGGGAGGTTTCCTGGGAGTCTCTTCCATGCGGAGAACCCCTGGGAAGGACGCAGAAGGTACAGGGCCCAGCTACTGATTCCCTCTGAACCTCAGTTTGTTGATGTGTAAGATGGGAATGTAAACCCCCAGGAAGCTGGGAACCCAAGAGCCCTCGTTAATTGTGATACCAGTTATTACCGTCCCCGTTCCTCCCGTCAGGAATAAGAAAACTGGGCCAATGTCCTGCTGTGGGTGAGGCCTGGGCTAGGCCCGCCCCACCTCGTTACCTGAGGTCTTCTCTGAGACACGACGACCGTGGTCTCTGTGATGCAGGAGGATGTGCGAGCGTCACTTGGTGTTTGCTCTTTGCTCCGGCTGCTGAGACTCAGAAGTAGGGGCGTTCTCTCTCCCCAGGCCCAGGAAGGTGACGGGGCCTTGGAGTCCCCATCTGGGGACTCCTGCCTCGGGGTTCATGGGTGGCTGGTTCATGGGTGGCTGGTGTTCATGGGTCCCTCTCTGAAGATGCCGGGGTCATTTATCCACCAGCCCCTAGCAAGTCCCAGAGGACGTGTGTGGTCAGACCCCGGGGTCCTTGGCCATGGCTGCTTGGAGCAGGACCTCCACGTCCTGGCTCGGCTGTGGGGTGGAGCTGCTCACCTCTGGGCTGGAATAGAGGCCCCTTCACTGGACCAGACGGGGCCAAAGACAAGAACCCTGTCCCTTCCTCCAGGCCCTTGGCAGCCCCCCGCCTGGGTGGACGGATCTGGTAGGACCCCGGGGAGCCAACAAGACCTGTCTAGACCAGAAGATGGACCTCTGCCTCCTTGAGGTTCAAACCCAGATTTAAAAGGATTTAGAAAACAAAAAACCCAAACCAGGACATGATGGGTCTAAGCAAGGTCCTCTGGGTCCTCCAAGGTGGCGGGGCTGGGGGACCTGGGTCTGGGCACAGGCCTGGTGCTCAGGGACTGCTCAGGGCTGGCCCACACTGGGGGCTGGCATGGGACCGGCCCTGGCCGTCCGTGTGCCTGTTGGCCTGGCCCATCGTGGGGACTGGACAGAACCTCGCCGGCTGCCCTGGGCTGAGCGGTCCTCTCGTGTGTGTGTCCTGGGATTGAGTAACAGGTTCCCCAAGGCCACGCCGCGCCACTCTTCCTGTCAGGCCCCCCATGGAACTGAAGCACTCTGGGTACCCGGGGGAGAACAGGGACCCTACTGTCTGTCCTGAACCTCCTGGGGCCTCGGGGGGCCAGGGAGACAATGGCAGTCACCACTGCCTGAGTGGGAAGGGTGCTTGGTGATAAGGCCCCGTACCCCAAGGCCAGTAACAACAGTGACAATGGCGTCACCCACAGATGACACTGTCTGAGTGCCTACCGTGGGCCTGGCACTATTTGCTCTCATTCATTTTATTTAAGGTACTGGGAGTTGAGCCACACCCCAGCACCACCCCCCCTTTTACAATATTTTACTTAGAGACAGGGTGTCGCTAAGTTGCTGGGGCTGGCCTCCTACTTGTGATCCTCCTGCCTCAGCCTCCCGAGTCCCTGGGATTACAGGCAAGTGCCACCGTGCCTGATGCAACTGTTTTCTCTCATTTAAATCTGAACCACAACCCTCCAAGGCCAGGACTATGATTGTCCCCATTTTACAGAGAAGGAAACTGAGGCTCACAGAGGGGAAGCCACATTTCAGGATCAAAGAGGGGCCAGAACAGAACTCGAAGCCTGGTTCGCCTGCCTCTGGGGCCTCGTGACACACCACGCCACTAAGATCAACAGAATGTGTGTCCCCACCAGACAAGGCCACCATAGATGTGTTGAGGGCAGGCAGGGAGACGGGGCCTTCTAGTGCCTGAACCCGGGGAGTGGTCAAGACGGCTGACCCATCATCACGGGGACTGATGTCACCCAGACACAGCTAAGGCGCTGCCCAGACTGGCAGATGTGCCTGACCGTGACCCAGGTGTAGCTCGGACGGCTGACTCCTATGCTGGGACAGTCACACTCCAGACAGCAGGGGTCACAGAGAAGTGTTTATTGATCATGGAGAGGGACACTCCCAGCTGAGGACCAGCCTGCGCTGGACGGCCGCCATCCATGTCTTCACTGGGAGACAGGGAGGTCCCAGGAGGTGGCTGGGGCGAGCACCAGGGCGTCCTGGGATTGGAGAAGAAGAGTCAAGGCGTTGATTTATTTTTACCTCCCGCCCTTCCCAGGTTGGGGCTGGTTTTGTCTCCATGAGGTGACTGCTGGCCCCGGCGGTGGGGGGGACAGGACCCTAACTCCCTCCTGCAGAATTCTTGGAAGGGCCAGAGGGGAACAGTTGTGTCGCACAGCTGTCTCCGCACAGGGGATGTGACCACGTGCAGTGAGTCTTGTAGGACCGCTGTCCCCAAGCCCTGCCTGCCACCAAAACTCTCCAAGAAGTTTTATAAAGTGTAGATTCCTGGCTGTGAACCCACTAGGGTCAAGCAGCTCGATTTATTTTTTATCTTTTGGTTCCAGGGATTGAACCCAGGGACACTTAGCCACTGAGCCACATCCCCTGCCTTTTATTTATTTATTTATAAATATTTTTTTAGTTGTAGTTGGACACAATATCTTTATGCATTTTTATGTGGTGCTGAGGATTGAACCCAGTGCCTCACACATGCCAGGTGAGCACTGTTCCACTGAGCCCCAGCCCAACCCCATCCCCAGCCCTTTTTATGTTTTATTTTGAGACAGGATCTTGCTAAGTTGCTTAGGGCCTCACTAAGTTGCCCGGGATGGCCTCAAACTTGAGATCCTCCTGCCTCAGCCTCCTGAGTTGCTGGGATTACAGGCCTGCGCCACCACACCTGGCATCCAAGATTTTATTATAACCATTTTAAACATCCAGTAAAGCAGAATTGTAGAGTGAACACCGTCCACTCATCACCTGGATTCTTACCCAGACCGACATGCCTGTCCTTTTACTCATTCTTCTTACTAGTAAAAGGACATTGTGAAACTATAGAGAGGAAATTGTGAAACTATAGAGAGGAAATCGAGGTACTGCTGGCTGGGAACGGTCGGGCAGAGCAAGACAGGAAATGTGGACATTAATGTGAATAATGAACTGAACTCTGTGGCTTCTCCAGGGTTAAATGACTCCGGAATTCAGTGGTCCTGGTCAACGGCTTTGGGCAAATCAGGGCCAATGAGAGTCAGAGTTTGGTGCAAAGCACCTCTGAAGCCCTACGATGGACACTTTGTCACTGAGGGGTGGGGACAAGGCCTCTCTGGATTTTCTTAAGTGCTAATGATTCTGTTTTCAACATCTTTCCCTCAAGAGTGGAATCAAATCTCAGAGAAGCCAAGGTTTCTGACTGTTTTGTCCACTGTTGTGATCAGTGCATACATGCAGCTGGTGCTTAATAAATGCTTGCTAGCTGGCTGGCCAACAGAAAGGGTCACCTCACTGATACAGAGGTTGGGGTTCAAGGCAGGGGTTATGAGGAGAGGTGCCGAAGGGTGACGTTTGGGGTAAGGGCTGTGACAGCCCATCTCCCAGATGATGCCAGGGAGAGTCACTTGCTCACAGGTATTTCTGGAACAACTAGTGTGTGCCAGGCCTTGCTGACAGCACTGGGGACAGAGGCATGGACAGGACAGAGGTCATCCTGATGCTCGTGGGCTGA